ATAACGACACATACTAACAGAGCATATCGTACTATACTACAGAGGGCCGAGCCGTCAGCAAACATAACAACACAGAACCTGTCAGAGCAGAACATGACATACCAGAAGACGGCATAACACAACATAACATAACATGACCGAACATAACACAACACACCTTGATATAGCATATCAGGTTATAGCATGACAGCATCACAGAACATATCATAAAACGACAGCAAAGCATAGCGATACTTATTAGCAGAGCATCTCGTACTGTACTTTACTGAGCCGAGCTGTCGACAGCATCACGGAACACAACATATTGTAGCATCGTTTGACATATCATATTTTGTCATGACATTTGCCACATGCCAGATCATACCATAACATCTCAAAACCTATGTTGACAGACATGCGTATAACATAACACACTCACTCAGAAGAAAACATGTAAATTGAGAGAGACATCGTAACAGACGACGCGTCCAACGTCACAGACAAATCGACGTCACGTTGGCCCGTCGAGAAAAGAACAGGACATAATATATCATAACATGAAAGAGCGTGACTGCATGGAACACGGTTGAACATTTTTTGAACCCAGAAACGGCAGTTGTGCAGTGGTGGGGGGACGAGGAGGAAAAGTAGGGAGGCGAGGTCCGCCTCACCTCCCTCTTCTTCCTCCCTCGAAGCAAAATCCTCCTCCTCCTCCTTCGTCGTCCGCCTCCTCCTCCTGCTCCCCCTGCTGATGCTCTTCCTCTTCCTCTTTTAATGGGCTGCGGCTCTCCATCCCTTTCGCACCGCACGTTTGCGAAGCTTGATTTTTCGCCCCAGGCTTTCTTTCAAATTCTTCTGTCCGGAGCTCTGGGGTTGCTGGATTTGGAGAACGGAAATCGCCACCCGGCCCGACCGCCGCACAAGCCGAGACCACAGGGCCCCGCGCGCAGCGTTCCACAAATTAGGCGACCGCGCACCGCCGGGAACAAACGCTTAAGGTTTCGGGGGGGATCGTTCGAATCAGAAAAATATATTTTTTTGTGCTGACGGTTGCCCCTGCTGCTGCAATTGCGGTTGTCTTGCGCTGCCACTGGTATTGCTACGACTGCAGGAGTACAGTTGCATGCCACGTTGACGATAGGATCAACGAGTTGCTGCATGACTTTGGACTCGGCCATGGTATATAGACTGTAACCGTAGACTGACTAGCCAGGGTAATCAGCTTCGAAGACCATCTGGTGCAGCCACAACCTTGAAATGGCGCTGGAACGCGCATTGCAATAGTGTTTGGAGCATGGCTCTCCTACCAACATTCGCAGGTGGACGTTGAACGTTTTGGCGCTGAGGAGCAGCATTCGGCCGCTGCTTTCTGGTGACCACGCGAAGTTGCGACCAGACGTGCTCTTGCTGCTGCTGCTGCCCACCGCATCTGAGATTCGGAAACTACCACGCTAATGAGGACTGTTGACATTGCTGTAGTTTGGGCGTCAGTCTGATGCAGGAGCGCTGCCGGCGCTAAAGGCGAGAGCAGCACTCCGAGGCATAAGTGAGGCTGGCGCTAGGGCGAGAGCATCCTTCCGAGGTAGTGATGTGGAGGGCATGCGGGCGAAAGTGCCACTTTTACAAACCCCTTGGAACCACTCAGATGCAAGCACTACCTGAGCAATATGCATTATGCCGTGGCCTGCGGCCCATCCCACCGCCACCGTGCTTGGCTTGTGGACCCAAGTGCTGGAAGGGGCTTCTGGGGCTTTCGGGGCGGGGCATCTTGTGCCTCTCTCAGGGGCTCGGGGCTCCCTTGCAGTGATCTTGGGCGCTTCTTCGGCCGTCGCCGACGTCAGCAACTATATCCCTAAGGCGACAACATTCGAATCATGCATGTCCGAAGATGTTCAGCTAATTTTCATCTTGGCCACAGCCCGACTCCCTTAGGTCCTCCCCAGCCAGGGCACCGCAATCGTCGTCTATGGGCAACCGAAGCCGTTTGTAATCAAATGCAGTCATCCGCTTGCTCGCAGCGCAGCACATCCCCCACGGCCCTGCTCATCCCCGTCACTCGTGCTCGTATGACAGGTGCCAAGGCATCTGGCTCGTTGGTGAACATGTTCCCGCTGTGCGCGGCGTTTTGGAGCACCGACGAGGCCAGACACAAGGGCGAGGCTGACCACCAACAAGGTCTGAGCACCCAGCAGTGGACTGCCTCCCCGTCCTTCGACTGCCGAGGTCCAGGCGAGGCCACTCCACCGCGGACTGCCTTCCGGCGCTGGAGCAGCGAGAACGCCACGGTCAACGAGGTGGTGCCTGGGCTTCAGGACGCCTTACGTCTGGCGGGCCTAGCCAGCTACACGGCCCTGGCGGAGAGCTGGTGCCCAGCACCGTCAGACCTGTCCCCGTCCCCGCTGGGAAAGCCTTGGCTCCGATGTCCGACCGACCCCGCCCCCCCCAGGGAGGCGAGAGCTGCCGCCTCCGTCGCCGCGGCGCCAATCCCCATCTCGAGGGGGTTGGCCGGTTGCGCTACGGCCGTAGTTCTCTGTCTGGCAACGTGGGCCCCCAGTGGTCTCGGCCCCTTCCCGGGACCAGCATTCCATCCCGAGCCGTTCTTGCTGGCAGCCCCCATGCCCTGCAGGGGCCCCCGCAGGCGGAAAAGGGCAGACAGAGTCCGGTCGTGGTTTGTTCACGGTTCGAGGGTGTCTGGGGATGGGTACAGTCGGACCAAAGTACAAGATCGAGGTCGGTTCGGGGAGGGTACCCTAATGTTCTTCTTGTTTGGTGGGCGTTATTGTGCACCCTGGGGTGGGTACCCTAGCATGTTATGTGTGTGTGTGTCTTGGCCGGCGCAGGGTCTCATGTTCTTGAAGGATGTTATTCTGTCCTAGGTCTGGCTGCAGCTCTGACGATGCTGAGGTGCACGGAGATGGGGGCCGCGTACCTCGTGGAGCTCCTCGCGGAGTTCGACGACTTCTGCACCTCGCTCAGCGCGGTGGCGGCCCTGAGTCCGGAGAGCACGCGGCGGCTTCGACTGGCGCTGTTGGCCAGCCGGCACGATGGCGCAAGCAGGCTCTCAGGGGCGCCAGGGGGGAGAGGAAGGGGGAGGGTCAGGGGCAACGTCAGGGGGGGATAGGCTCAGGGGGGATCGGTTCTCGGACGTTGTCGTTGGTTCTCGTCGGCTTCCCAGTCTCGGGATGCTCTCCAACAGCTGCGTCCCGCCGAGTACTTTCCAGGGGCGTCTGGATCGTCCCGAACGGCCGCCGAAGGCCAGGGCCATGACCCGAAAATCATATAAAGGGCTAGGCTAAAGGGAGGAACGCATCGACCCCACATCGACCATGAATCGCTAATTGGGCCTGGGTAGCTTCAGGCTGGATATGTTTGGGTCGCTTTTGGCCTTCACAGGGCTTGAAAAGGAACCACTCTCGTTCCAACTCCGGTTTGCTCCTCCCTTCTCTCCCTCTCCTTCATCGTCCGTCTCTTCGTCATCCTCATTCCGTAAAACATTGTTTGAGATACAAGCCTTTCTAGTTGTTTCCCTTTCCTCCCTCTCTTCCGCAAGGATGACTTTCGAAACGTCTTGTTGGTTTACTGAAGAAGTCAAGTTGTTTTTTATGTGTATTCCCGCTCCCTGCTCCCCACCCGTGCCATGATGCAGCACAGGGATGTTGCACGAAGGAGCCTTTTTCAACAGGAATCCTTAACATCTACTGGGAGTCCTTAAGGAATATGAGGCACATAATAATCATTACCACAGGAACCGTTCCTAAGGATTGCTTGCGACACGGAGCCACCGCTAAGGAGCATGTGCTGAAGAAAACTTGCGGAGGAACCCTCACTGAAGGAACATTTAGAGAATCCATTGTCAGGATATCTTTGATGGAGGACCCCTTATGCAAGATATGCCCGCAACATAATGCCGTGCTAAAGGAACACTTGCGAATCAACCCTTCGCATGGAGTCCTTTCTGAGGAGCTCTGATTACCACATCAGTATATTAAACTGCCTGGTTCAGGGGTTATTGTTGTAAAGGGGCACGTCCTAAAAATGATTCTAGATTGAGAGTGCTACGTGCGAGGCCTTACTGAAAGGGCTCCTTCGAGATATTGGCCGCTAGTACAGATTATGCGTTGTAATTGACTTCTGCTCGCAACGAGCTGTCCACTCCACTGCTCGCGCAATTACCCCACCCACCCGCAACTTGGTTTGCAAAACCCATGCGGCGGCGATTACGATGAGTGCTTGGCGTAGGCTGTTGCACCTCTGCGGCCGCGCTGGCCCGCGCATGTTCGCGCGCGCAGCGGCCAGATAGTTTGGCGCTGCCGACGCGGCCGCGGTGGCGCAGACCGCTGGGCACTTTCCCGCGGGCAATTCAATGCGAGTCGGCGACTTGTCGGGCGGTGTCATGGAAACGTCGAAGCGGGTAGACGCGATGATGATGGTAGCGGTAATGGGGACGATGGTGACAAGAACGACGACCAGACCAGTGACGGCGCCGATGCTGATCACGCCGACGGCGATGACGGCGCCCTCGCGTCGGCGATGCAGGTTCTGGAGGGAGTTCGACATGCGCGCGCGACCGACGCGCGAGAGTGGCCCGCATGGGGTTATTTGGCACGGATCGTGCCCCCCCCCAGCACGCGCGCAAGTGCGTTCGAATGATTCCGACGTGCGGCGCGGGGGGCCAGTTTGGCAGAATTTGATGCTAAGTTCGGACAGCCGATGTTGCAAAACCATGTTTTGTTTTGTGTTCTGGGCACTCGATTATGATATCCTTACGACACCGATTCGTTTTGAAAGATTGCGGCATGTGCGCGCGACGACGTGCGCGTGTGCACGTCGTCCTTTTGTTGGATGAGGTTCTTGCGACAGCACGCGCGCAAGGGATTCCGAGCGATTCCGACATGCGCCTGCGAGATGCCCGCATGGTAGCAATTTATGGTAATGCAGCAAACGTATATGATTTCCTTAGGAATTCGCAAGAGCCAGGGCGCAATTGGTTTTACAACATTCTTGTTGCGAAACCATGTGTTTGTAGATGTTTTCTGGACCGTCGATTTTGAATTCCTCACGGTTTTTTTGCCGAATGTCGGCATGCGCGCGCGACGACGCGCGCGTGCGCGTTCTTTTGAATTTCCTTTTTTTGCAAGGGATTCTCGAAAACTTATGATTTGTGATGAGCGAGTGCGTACGCATAGTGTCTTCTGCGGAGGATGAGGGTGGGTGCCAATACCGGCCTGCTTGGGATGGTATGACATTATTTTAGGATGGGTGACGGAGCAGGGTCGCATGTACATTGCATTGCGAAAAAGGGGAATCGTTAATTCTGGTTGGGGGGCGCGTACATGCTCGTGTTATTTTAGAAATGAGGGTATAATTTCAGGCGCAGGGAATTACAATTTCATTCCTCGTGTAAAGGGACAGGAAAACCACGCACCAGCAGAAAACACAATCCAAGTTTTGGACAAGGAAACGAATGTCCCTCTCTCTTTCTCTCTGTGCCCCGTTTCCCACGCTCATGTCTATAAGTATGCTTGACAATAATGAGAGGGATCTACATAAAAAATAGTGTGTGTGTGTGTGTGTGTGTGTGAGGTATATATATATACATATACATATAGGGGAAACAAGGTTGAGGAGGAAGACGAACTCCTCCAACTCCTTGTTCGGATGTATCCTTGCTGGAGGAACCTTTTGCGAAGGAACCTTCACGAATGAATCTTTACGCGTCAACCGTACCAAACGAATCCGTACGACAGGGATCCCGATTGAAGGAATATGCGCTAAAAGAGTGACCCTTCGAAACTTGAAGGACCCTTGGATGGACGACACCCGTGTCAAGCACAACATGTTGAGGTTGTCTTCTAATGAATGACCAGTTTCGCAATGGCTTTGTACGACACTTAGCATAGGCAAATGAATCATTACACATGGAGGTCCGTAGCTGAAGGCATCCTGGCTAAAGAGAGTCTTTATCAGCGAGCTTGTACCCAGGAGCCCGTAATACAGGAATCCTGATTCCACGGACTCGTGCCAAGAAAGGATCCGTATGATGCCATGTGAGCCGTTGCTGCTAATACAACACAGAAAAAATTCTGACAGGAAGTCTTCGCATGCAATCGTATTGCTGGCTCTTTACAAGTGAACCTTTGCTGCAGAGGCCCTTACATGGCAGCCCTCACGGAAGGAAAAAGAAAGGAATCCATGGCCAGGGTATCTTGATTTTGCGAAGGAGGCTGTGAGTGAAGGATCCCTTAAGCACTGCATGTCTTAAGTATGGGAAGGGTTCCTTAAAGTATGGGGTCCTCACGAAGGGGTCATTATTGAAGGCATGTTTCCTGAATCTGGCTCTTATCAACCCTCACGACAAGATGCGTTATTACATGAACCCGTACGAAGGACTCCTTACGAAAGGGGCCTTTAAGAAAAAAGTTGTGCTAATGGGGCTCGTATTAACACATTCGCATGCGAATCCTGATTTAGCTGTCCTTATTGAATGGGTTCTTCCTAGGAGAGATCCTTCTCGAGGACTCAGTAGTATCGAGCCCGTGCTGAAGGCAGCCCTATTACAGCAATATCTTTGATCGGAGGCACGCGGGTGAGATCGCAGTGGGACGGAGAGCCCCCATATGGGGAAGTCGGTGTCGCTTTCGTGTTGGTGTCGTGCGTACCGACGAGGCGAAGCGTGCGTGGGTCTGCGAGAGGACTGAACCCTCCTCTGGCTAAGGCGCCGCTGGAGCAGAAGTCCGCCCCCCTGTTTGGCGGCCAGGTGCCGGGGTTGTCTCGCCGTGGTGTCTTGATGGTGCCCCCTGTGGCGTATTACCATACGGTTCCTTTTGTAAACGGCTGGAACACCAGAAACCAGTCAAGAATGGCCGTCCAGAGGGATACGGAAGACGAAAAAGAGGAGCGGGAGCAGAAGGAGGAACAAAGAGGAAGCGGAAGGGAGGTAACACCGAAGACGGAGGGAGGCTCGGCGTTCCACCCCGCCACTGAGCGTGCGGTCTCGCTTACCGACGGCCGATCGATGAAATATCGCAGTCAATGTTTGCCCCCCTCCCCTCCTGAGCGGGCCCCCTTTTGCCGTTCCCTTCATCAGGAGGAGGAGGTGGAGGCTTGGAGACTTGGAGACCACCTCGAGTCCAAGTGGACTCGCTCGCTACGACGGGCGCGGGGGGCAGTCGAGGAGAGGCTGGCTCCCGACTGCAGGGCGCAGACAGCGAGCGCGCCGAAAACACCAGGGGACCAAGAGGGGGAAGCCCAGACTGCAGTCAGAAGCCGCCCCCTCCCCGACCTTCCCCCTCAGACCTGGAGAGCTTTGAACACCTTGGAGCCCTCGCCCACGACGTGCCGACGAGGCTGATGAGGTATTCCAGGAACAGCCACAGCAGCATCATCACGATGAAGCTGCCTTGTGCTTGCTCGCCCATTGCAGGAACTCATGTAGGGTCTCCATTGCGCCCTCGGAGCCCTTGAAATCCGCGAAGAAGGCTTCCAGGTAGATGTCCAAACTGGGCTCAGCCACCTCGCCCACGTCGAAGCCCTTCTCCTCCGCAACGCTGCGGGGCGGCGGGTTCGGTCCACGAACGGACTGAACGAGCTCTTGACCGCCACGTTGAACTCGTACGCCTCGTCGCCGTCGTTGTCGGGGGGGTCCCCACCTTTTTGCTCCACCCCATCGTCCACCTTGGCGCCGAACATGTCGCTGGGGGTCGCAACCTCCTGCAAGTCTAGCTGCTCATCGTTGTCGGATGCCTTCTCGATCTTCTCCTGACCCTCATCCTCGAACGTCTCCTCCACCTCGTCGGCCACCTCGCCGCCGAGCGTGTCGCAGAGGGTCGCATCCTCCTGCATGTCCAGCTGCTCGGTGTCGGATGGCTTCACGAACTTCTCCTGAATTCCATCCTCGAACGCTTCCTTGCTGCTGTGTGACCCAACCTCCGTGGGGTTCATCACACCCGAGTGCTTGTACAGGTAGTTGGCGCAGTTGCCAGACTGCACCGCCTTCAAGATCTTCTCCTGGTCTACGTCCTCGAACTGCTGGATGCGCTGGCCAGCAAAGTCCAGGACCGACAGGATGTGGTTGCCGACTCGCGTGCCAATGAAGAAGCAGCCCTCGTCGATGCCAACGTCGGCTGCGACCATGCCCACGGTCTTCGAATACTCCTCAGCCTGATGCCACCAGTGCCAGCCATCACAGGCACCTCCGTCATCAGTGTCTGAGTCCGACAGCTGGAACTCAGGAATGAACTCAGGAATGAACGGCTTCGCGTGCAGGTTCAGCGGATCGCGGGCCTGGCGCCCTCCCAGGCCGACGGCGGCCCACGGTCCTGCTTGCTGCTCTTCTTGCATGTCTTGTCCTTCTTGCTGGATTTGTCATTTTTTTCCGCTTCTTTTCCTTCTTGGCTTTGGCGCCCTGCTCGACCACCGGTGTCCGCCTGGCCCGGCGCTGCCTGCCGCCTGCCGAAGGAGAGCGAGAACGGCCGCGGGCCCTCCTCGTCGACGGCGGCGCCTGCGTCGAGTAAGCCACGACGGGCCCCACCCAGAGGCCCGGGGGAGGTGAAGGCGGCGCGCACTTCGACACGAGGCCCTCCTCGCCGTTGGAGACCGCCAGCAGCGGCGCCGACGACGGCTTCAGGCGCAGGGGCTGCGGGCTCGGCGGTCGGCTTGACGGGCGCGCCTTGGGAGGAGCAGGGGCGCGAGACAAGGCCCGCGCTGTTGCCTCCACCGCCGCCTCGACTGCCGCTCCGACAAGAGCCTGCTCCCGCACCGCCTGACTTCGCCACGGGGCCCGCGAGGCCCCCTCGCTGTCGCGCCACGACATCAGAGAAATACTACAGGCTCGGGACAGCTGCGCCCCCTTCACGTGCGCTGCCCTCGACCGCCCCTCGGGCAGGAAAGGGGCTTGAGCCAAGATGGTTTAAGCCAAGATGGCTTGAGCCAAGAGGAGGAGCAGGTGGAGGAGGAGGAAAAGGAGAGGGAGGAGGAACAGGAGAGGGAGGAGGAACAGGAGGGGGAGTAGGAGGAGAAGGAGGAAAAGGATGAGGAAGAGGAAGAGGAGGAGGATGGGGGAAAGGATCAGGAGAAGGAGGAGGATCTGTCCGCGGCCAAGAATCAATCGATTTCGACCTCATCCAATTTACTCCTGGGCTTGATCCCGCGTATCATAGCCCTCTAATCGGGGGTCGTAGCCTGGAATATTTCCCGCGAAGACCTCTCAGAAGATCTCTGCTCAGGCTCTCTTCAGGAGGAGGAGGAGGAGGAGGAGGAGGAGGAGGAGGAGGAGGAGGCTGAGGAGAAGCAGGAGGAGGAGCATCAGGAGGAGGAGGAGGAGGAGGAGGAGGAGGAGGAGGAGGAGGAAGAGTAGGTAGGAGGAGGAGGAAGACGAAGAACAGGAGGAGGAAGAGGAGGAGGACGAGGAGGAGGACGACGACGAGGGGGAGGGGCATAAGGAGGAGGCAGAAAAGGAAGACGAGGAGGAGGAGGAGGAGGAGGAGGAGGAGGAGGAGGAGGACGAGGAGGACGAGGGAGAAGAGGAGGAGGAGGAAGAGGACAAGGATGAGGAAGAGGAGCAGGAAGAGGAACAGGAAGAGTTAGAGGAAGAGCTGGACGAAGCGCAGGACGAAGAGCAGGAGGAGGAGGGGGAGGACGAAGACCAGGAGGAGGAGGAGGACGAGGAGGAGGAGGGGGAGGACGAGGGAGGGGAGGATGGAGGGGAAACAGGAGGATGGAACAGCAGCAACAGCAGCAGCAGGCTCGCCTCCGCGCCCCTGGCCCTGGAAGCCCCTTGTGGCAGCCCTGCGCAGCCCGCGCCGCGGCGCGGCACAGCGCGGCCGCCGCCCCCGGCGCGGCCTGCGGGCCTCGAGGTCCGCGCGCGGCACGGCGTCCCCCGCGCTGCGCGGGCAGAGGACGAGGGTCCCTCCTCCTCCTCCTCCTCCACCTCCTCCTCCTCCTCCTCCTCCTCCTCCTCCTCCTCCGCCTCCGTAGCCATTTTGGCTCAAGCCATTTTGGTTCAGGCCCCGCTTGGGCCCCCGCTGGGGTCCAAACGGAACGAAAGCCCTGTAGCCTGTCTGGCTCAGTGGCGCCGCTCCGCGTGACGGATCCTCCGTCCGGGCGCGCGGCGGGTCGGCGGGGCGCGGCGCGGGGCCCTCTCCCCCCCTCGCCTCCATGGCCCTTCCTGGCGGCGGCTGGTGCAGCTGCTGCGGAGCCGCCGTGTGGGCGCCGCCCACGGCCGTCGCGTGGGCGATGCCCGCTGCCGTGTGGCTCGGCGGCGTGCGCTGCGCGGCAGGGAGCGAGCTCCTCGCCCTGCCGTGGGGCGGGCAGCGGCCGCGGTCGGCGGGACTGCGGCCCGACGCCCCCTCTTCGGACCTGCTCTGGTGCTGGAGGGCTGGCAGGCGCAGCTGCGCGGGGCTGTCGGCGACGAGTCCAAGGACGTCGTCGTGAAGGGCGATAGGGAGGTACAGCAGCTCCATGATTTCGAGAACTTCGTGGAGATGGTGAGGAACATCGACGACGACGATGTGGTTGGCGGTGATGACGGTCGGCAGGCGGTCAAGCGCCCCGTCAGGCCGCGGTCGTGCAGTGGCGGCCGTGTCGGCCCGGCACGCGTTGTTGCTTCGCGCTTTGGGGCGTTCAGTGATGGCGACGCTGGGCTCTCGGAGACGGCCGGGCTGGAGGACGAGGCCTCGCGGCCGCGGGAGGTCGCGCCATCCGTGCGATGCCCGCTCACGAGCGTGGAGCTGCGCGCTGGGGCTGGCCGCCGGTGCGGGCGGAGCGCCCCTGCGGGGCGACGCTTGGATTCCCGCGGCGGCCGTGCCGCGCGCTGGGAGGCTGACCAGGCCTTCGCAGCCCGTGCGGTTGCGTCGTGGGCGGAGGCTGAGGCGGCGCGGCTGGCTCTGGCAGCGCGCGTGGCGGCAGTCAGTCGTTTGCAGCGGCTGGCGCGGTGTTGGCTGTCTCGGAGGGCCGCTGCCGCGAGGAGCCGTGCGCAGGAGGCCGAGGAGTCCGAGGGGTCCGAGGTAGCGCTGGCGGACGACGGTGATGGCGACGAGGGCGTGTTGCGGGCCGTGGTCAGCCCGAGCCGCCTCGGCGTCGAGCAGTTCTTCTTCAGGCTGTTCGCGCACCGCCGCGTCGTCGGCGTGAGCTTGGAGGACGTAGTCCTCCAGAGCGAGGCCGAGGGCATCGCCCTCGAGTCCGTGCACGACTTCATGGGGAGCGCCCGCTTCCGCCTAGGCTACTTCTTGAAGGGCGTGCACCAATTCCGGGTGGGGGGCGGGGTCGGCGACCCCTGAGTGGCGGGCCTCTCGCTGGATCTGCCTCGGGTTCCTGGCTGGCGGCCCCCCCGGCGTGTTTTGGGGGGGGGTTCGCCGCGGTCTTGGGCTCGCGCTGGTGCGCGAACCCGTGTCCCTCCCTGGGGGCAGCCTTTGCAGGCCGTCTGGTTGCCCGTCCGTCCCCGCTGGGGTGGCTTCCGTTCCCTTGGCTTGCCCGCGGGGCAGGCCAGGGTCGCGACGGATGCCTGGCGCGCCGCTCTGGAGGCGCGGCTGCGGGCCCGGCCGAGGCCGCTGGACTAGTTAATTCGGTGCAGCTCCTCCTCCTCCTCCTCCTCCTCCTCCTCCTCCTCCTCCTCCTCCTCCTCCTCCTCCTCCTCCTCCTCCCCCCCTGCTCCTCCTCCTCCTCCTCCTCCTCCTCCTCCTCCTTCTCCTCCTCCTCCTCCTCCTCCTCCTCCTCTCCTCCTCCTCCTCCTCCTCCTCTCCTTCTTCTCCCCCTGCTAGTCAGATGAGTGGTTCGACTCCCCCGAAACCGCTGACCATCGTCCCGCTGCTGCGCCTCGCAGCCACGACAATCACTTCCACATCGACACCGACAATTGCTTCGACGCCATCCGTTTTGCCTGAGCTAGCTGCTCGGCCATGCGGCGCCCGCGGCGCGACGCCGAATTTGGGGCCCCCGACCCCCCCTCTCGGAGTCACTGCTCCTGTTCCTCCTCCTCCTCCTCCTCCTCCTCCTCCTCCTTCTCTCACTCTCTCCTCCTCCTCCTCCTCCTCCTCCTCCTCCTCCTCCTCCTCCTCCTCCTCCTCCTCCTCCTCTGCCTCCCGCCCAATATCATCGGGGACTGGAGTGTATCGCCTTCGGCCTTGATTAAATCTGGGTGGCTCAGTCAGGTCCAAGGGCGTATTATGGTTCCTGACAGCGTGGGCTGCACCCCTACACTGCTGGGGAGAGGACCCTCGGCGACTATGCGGTGGTCTCTGGAGATACTTTGGATTTCGCGCAGCAGATATCGGGAGTTACTGAGTTGACCAGAGAAGGTGAACGTGCACACGACAGCATCGTGGTGAAATTCAAGCCAGAAGTCGGTGAGGCGTTTGGAAAGACGTTGGGATTACCCAACGTATTTGGTCTTCCCGACCAGCCCAAGAGGCGGGCGTACCCAAGCATCAAGAGGTGCAGGAAGAAGGCCGAGTTTGCCGACAGTCTACAGGTTCGCGGCCGAAGGAAACTGGCTATCAAGGGACCTCCTCCGCTGAATTTCCTGGGCGCCTTGTTGGAAGTGGACAATTTGAGTGTTACGGATAACGAGGAAGAGCCTGATTAGGAGGAGTGAACCCGATGTATTTCGTGAACCAGGGCTACACTTTCAAGAGGTGCTGAGTGCGTATGGGGCCGTGTCGGACACTTAGTGGACCTTGGGAAACAGAGAAGAAGTTTGAACCAACATTAAGCCAGAGAAGGATTACAGGCGGGGGCGCCCACTTCCATGCATACAGAAATCCCACGGCGACCTGGCTACTAATCACAACGCTCGGAAACTGGTTCGTGTTTTTGGTGAATTGATTGGGATTTGGAAAATGTTATATTGCACACTTTTGTCTTGCGAAGGTGCGGTCAGTAGCTAAAGGAAGACCCATTTTGGTATAGGAACTGTCATGAGCAATGGGGACGTGCAAAGTCATGCCATCCGCATCATGTACTCGACGTCGGGATGTTGGGGTAGACTAGTGGGCAAAGATCGGAGGTTGGGCGGTGATATCGAGGCGGGATCTCACACTGTGAAGTCGGTTTCGGTTTCGGATTCGTGTCGCGCGTGCGGGCGAGGCGGAGCTGCGTGGGCGGGCGAGAGGAATGATTCCAATGTGGCTAGGGCAGGTCAGAGCCGTTGCCCCGTCTTCCCCCCCCCCCCCCCCTCCGGTAATCCAGCGGTGGCCCAGGTGTCCCACCGTGTCCGATGTCCCGTCGTTGTCCCGTCGGTATGCCGTCGCGGTGGGCGGGCGGTGGTTCGGGTGTCCCGCCGTGGTGTCCCGTCGGTGTGCCGCTGTCATCCGGTAGGTGTCCCGTGGTGTCCCGTCGGTGTCTTGTCGGTGTCCTGTCGATAACCCGTGTTGGGATCGATAATGAGACCGATAGTGACTGAGATCCGAAAGTGGGATCGGTTGGTGTTCCGAGGCGCCCCGTCGGTGTCCCGTCGGTATCCCGCGGTTGTCCTGTCGGCGTCCCGTCGGTGTTCCGTGTTGTTTCCTGGTGAGATCGATGGTGTGATCGGTAGTGAGACCGATAGTGGGATCGATAGTTAGAGTGGTGCTCCGTTGGTGCCCCGATCGGTGTTTTGATGGTGTCCTGGCGATGTTTCGATGGTGTTTCGATCGTGTCCTGGTGGGATTCATAAGGAGATTCGGGGGGGTCGGAAAGCTGCGCCACATTGTTTTCAATGTCGGCACCACCGGCCACGGGATCGACTGTGATACCTGTCGGTGTCCTGGCGGTGCCCCGTCGGTGTCCTGCGGGTGTCCCGTCGGTGTCCCGGCGTTGTCCTGTGGTTTCTCTTGGTGGGGTCGATGGTGAGATCGGTAGTGAGACCGATAATGGGATCGATAGTGAGACTGGCGCTCCGAAGGTGCCCCGATTGGTGTCCCGATGGGTGACCGAATGGTGTCCTGGTGGCGTTTCGATGTCGTTTCGATGGTATCCTGGTGGTGTCCATAGGGGGACTTGGGGGGTCGCAGAGAGCCCGAGGCGCCAGACTGCTTTCAATGTCAGCATCACCGAGCGCAGGAACAACACACACATTACACCGTCATGAGCACTCGCTCGCGACATCCATCAAACAATCATCACAGTTGGTGCCCCGGTGGTGTCCCGATCGTACCCGACGCCACTCATTGTGAGATCGATGGTGGGATCGACAGTTGGGCCCATCGACAATGGGATGGGCCGTGAGGTCGATAGTGAGCTCCTTCGATGGTGAGGTTGATCGAGTGGGGTCGATGGTGAGGTCACACCGCGACGCAGCATCGCCGCCGCGCGTCGTCGCCAACCCGATGGCGCACCACCAGGATGTCAACATCGCAGCCGTCGCAGTTGCCGCCAGCTGGTTCTTCCCCCCAACCTTTTCATCACCTGAAGGGTGGTGGCGCGGCGTTCTTGTTGGACGGATTGGACAGGGCAGAGCGCGCGAGGAAGTCGCAGGAATGCCAAGAGCTGGTTGTCATAATCAAGACGGCGACGCTTGTGATGCCGTCCTCAGCGCTGGACAGCATGACGAGAGAGGACATGAGTTCTTGGTGGATATACTCCAGATTGTTAGGTGCAGCGGACGTGGCGACCTGATTTGGGGCAGTTTCAAGAACTTGATGGGCGAGGTTCGCGGAGCTGCCTCTGGTTCTTACTTCCCCCCCCTTTCGATGAGGAGTTGCTTGCGGAAGGTGTCAGGAAGAAAAAGGGCTCCGCAACCCAGGCTGGGCGAGAAGGAGTTGGCCTGGCTACTTCCGCGGGTGAGATGGAACTGGCTCACATGTTCACGCATCACGGAAGAAGCAGCACGGCCTTGGCAGTTCTTGGCGGCGGTGGCGTCGTTGGCCAGGAAGCCCTCGGGAGGACGTGATCTTGCCATCGGCGCGCTATCTATTCCGGCGGAGCTCTGGTCGAGCTATCGCAGCTCGCACGGGGCACGGTGGGTGGTGGCGCGCCGGCTTCTAAAGCGCAGCGGTGGCAGGATCTTCCCCATGGAGGCCGGCGCTCTGAATGCGCAGCACGGGCGAGACGGCCACCTTGTCCTGTCCCCCCATCCACAGCTGGATGAAGGCAAGCGCGGAACATTTGGGGTTTCTACGACGCGCTGTTATGGGTGTTACTCATCGCGAAAGGCATCGAGCACCGTCTTCCCTCTCTGTGGGTTCGGGCTCGGGGGCGATTCCGCACGCGGCGCCCCGCGCCCTCGGGGGGCAGCATTCGAAGGTCACGCAGCCCACGAGGGCGCAATTGGGCCACGGGGGGGCCGCGAATTTATCCGGGCGCGTCTTCTTATACCCGAGGGGGGAGACGTCAGCGGGGGCGCCCGGCATGTTGGTGAGATATCGGGGCGATGAGGGCAGATGCAGAAGATTGCGGACCCTGACTAGGAGATCGGGGTTGCGCTTCGCCCGTGGACGCACTGGGGCAGGGCTGGTGGTTTCCCAGAAAATTGCGATTGACGCTTCGCGCTTTGGGCAGGGGGTGGAGCTGCAGAAAGCCTCCGCAGATGGCGGCTGCGATGTTCAGCTGGAATCGGTGGCCGCCGACTTTGGCAATGGTCGAAGTAATATTGCACTCGGGGGACCTAGCCAAATCTGCGTAGAAGAGGTGCAGACAGACGGCCCACCAGAGCCAAGGGGCCTGCACTCGGCGCGCTGAGGAGGCGCATCGGCATGCAGCTGACCATGATGAGGACGTTGCAGAGAGCAGATCACTCGGACAAGGTCTTCCGCGCGGCTCCTTCTGTCATCGCGGCATGGGGATAGAAGATCGCCAGGGCAGACGCTTGCCGAGGAATGGCCAGGGAGGTACACGCCCGGCCACTCCACTCCGACATCGAGTCGGAAGCGACGACCCACTTGGGCAGATTGTTCAGAGGTTAGGTGGAGTCATGGACGACCATGATTCAATCGCTTCGCTCACTCCGCCGGCCCGCATTGCGCCGCCGCAGGCGTTTGCCTGCGCGTTCGCGGCCTCTTGGCGGCCGTTTGGGGGCTTCTTCGAGTTTTTTGTTGGGCCTCCTGGTGGCATTTCTGGGGCCTCCCGGGGCGCCGCGGGTGCTTCGGGGGCATTTTCAGGGGTCTCTTGGGGCTTCCCGGGTGCTTCTTGGGGGCTTCTTTGGGGCATCCTGGGGCCGCCAGGGGGCCTCTCTTCGCCTGGGGCTCGAAATGTCCGTTCGGGCCTCCCGTCTGGGCCCGCTCTTGGAGGTGTCTTGGGAGCCTCTTCGGCCGTCCTGGAGGCCTCTGGGGCTGTCTTGGGGCCCTCTGGGGCCCTTTTGGGTGCTCTTGGAGGCCTCTTGGGGCGCGTTTGGGGCGCCCTTGGAATCGCGCCAGGCCGTTCGGGAGCGCCGGCAAGCCGGAAGGCGAGAACGCCGACAACCTTCCAAAGCTGAAGGAAAATCTGTCTCTGCATGCGGGCCCTCCTGGGAGGTCTCGGAGGCCCCTCGGGGCGTCTTGAAGGCGCTTTGGGTTGTCTGGAGGCCATATCTGGCGTCCTGGATCGCGCTCTTGGACCGCCTCGGACCATGTCGAGCTCTCCTGGAGGCCACATGAAGCGCTCCTGGAGCGCTCTTGTGCTCCGGCTGGGGCCTGGCCAGGACTTCGCCGGGGCCTGCCCGGGGCCTTGCCAGGGCCCGCCGGGGACTTCGGCGGGGCGCTTTTCGCCGGGGGGCCCCGTCTGCGGCTCCGTGCGCGCGGAGAAGAACTATAACTGTTAACCAGTCACCGGAGATCTTAGCGCGAGTGGGCCGGCGATCTCCCATGCCGGGTCTTCGACCGGGAGTTGGCGAGGCGTCGTTGGAGGGCAGTCCGGCCCCGAATTGCCGTTGGAGCTAAGACAGATCGATGGGCGGGCGTTACGAGCGCGGCGCACGCGACGATCGCAGCATTGCTCGACGCGGCGCGGGATCCCGCTGGCCCGCGGGCTTCGTGCTGCGACGGCGGGGACAGGCGCCGCATGTCCTGATTCGATGATTAGAGACCGACCCCAGGATGCAGTTGCCCTGAAGGCGGCGCCGTCGATGCCCCTGGACAGACTACTGCGAGCCAGCGCCAGCGCGCACTTGAATGGCCAGGGACTGAAGTTAGGCGCGGATCTACGAGATGCGAGGCTGCACATGAAGACCTTCGAAGAGGAACATGGCAATCACGAGGCATGTGCTATCGAGGCAGTTTATGACAGGCGCTTCGTGGACTCGCGTGCGCACTGCTTCTCTGGGTGGCAACAGGAACGGATCTTCTATGCCCGAGACGCAGGGTGATGGAAGAGCCGCCCGTGCATCGCAGCTGGGGATGCAGGTGCAATGCTTAGATCACCGCTGCATCGGATGGCCTGGTGAGGCGGGCTCAGAATACCTCGGTGTTGCCGCGCCTGCGGTCAAGGGGGGAAGCCATTGAACTTCGGGCCAGAGTGGGCGGGCCACCTGATGCACCTGCGCCGGCGGTGGCCAAGGTGAACAAGGCAGGGGGCACGCCTGGACATGCCACGCGGTCGCTACGATGGCGTCGCAGGGGAGCAGACCACACATCGATGTGAGCTGGGGGCTCTATCAAGGGCCATAAGGGGTCATGTTGGGGCAAAGTGGTCACCTTCGTGACGCGCTCTTCCTATGTCGTCGAGGATGCGGCCAAGTTCGCGCACAAGGGTCCAGCGACCAGTCTCATCGCCATGTGGCAAGTGCTGGCATCTTCGACCAAAAGTAAATGGGAGGGGCCACACCTCGTCAACATTCAGTGAGAGCCACCAATATTTCAAGGAAGCTCTGAGGACGGGTGCACCGCTGGAGCGTCACTTGGCAGACTGCGCGGCGGACGGGGCTGAGGGGTTCTGGGCCGAGGGAGTGGCAGTTGACGAGACGGTAGCGGACTCGGCGGAACATGCCGGGGCCATCGGTCGGGCGGCGAGGCAGCACCTGGCAAAGGCTTTCCTGGCAGCTTCTGATGCGGAACCCAGACGCTTGCGCCCTGCGCGCTCGATGGTGAAGGCATATCAAAGTCGTGTCCATGTGTCAAAGCACGCTGTGTTTTCTTGGATGGGCTCAGCCTGTCACGGCCATCAATTTGGGCGCAGCTCTATTGGGAGGATGCTGGGACCTTTGTTTGAAGTTTGAAGACGTGTTCGGGCGGCATTGTCCAAGGGTTTTATTTGGAGGGTTGGTGACATTAGTGCTTCGGTTCGAGGTAGTCCGGTCAACGGCGCCTGCACATTCACGCGCGCTGTAGGTGCGGTTGTGTAGGGGAACGTTTCATCAGAGGTCTGGCAGGGCAGTGCTGGGGCGTGCTAGGCCACTGCGGACGACAGACCCTCAGCAAGTTGGGCCGCGGCAGCTGGCCTAAGTCATCTGGTCGGCGCAGGAAAGTGAGTGAACCAGTTGAGTTGAGAAGTGCGCGCGGGCTGGGAAGCACGGAGTCGGGGGCTGCCCCCGCGGACTCTACAAGGAGATCGGCCTCGCAAAGCTGAAGGTGTGGTCTCTTCGACTGCTACTGGGGGTCTGTGCCCACGGGGGGTACGGAGTCGGGGGATGCCCCAACGGGCCCGCAAGGAGATCGACGAAATGAAGTTCAAGCCCTTGGCCCAACCCAAGATGTCGGGGACTTTGGGCAAAACCTATTCAGTGCTCCGCGCCGACGGGAGGCACAAGAGAGGGGGGCCAGTGATCAGGGTCGGACGACCCCCTGGGAAAGTATGTTCCGCAGTAGTAGTACTGGGTCGGGGGCTGCCCCCGCGGATTCGGAAGAGGTACCTGAAGGTAAACATGGCGATGATGATGATGATGATGATGATGATGATGATGATGATGATGATGATGATGATGATGATGATGATGATGATGATGATGATGATGATGCTGATGCTGATGCTGATGCTGATGCTGATGCTGATGCTGATGCTGATGCAGATGCTGATGCTGATGCTGATGCTGATGCTGATGCTGGTGATTACGGTGATGACGGTGATGATGGTGATGATGTTGATGGCGATGATGATGGTGCGTGCCATGGTGAAAGCACTAGGCCAGGGGCTTCCCGCACAGACCCGCAAGGAAGCGCTGGAGGTTTCTCTATGTGCCCCGGTGGTGGCGCGTGGTCGGAGGCGTCCCCGTGGACTTTGGGGCTGAGCTAGCAGGCGTTTCTTTCCGTTTTCCTGCCTCCTCCTTCGCATTGCTGTGCAGCCAAGGGTGGCTTTCATGCTTGACTGGTGATGCCGGCCCTCGGAGTACGAAGTATTCCTCCTCCTCCTCCTCCTCCTCCTCCTCCTCCTCCTCCTCGGCGAGTCTGGTGCGACCCCCAAAGGTCTGGACCAATTCCCCCGGACCGGCGTTTCATCTCGAGTCGTTTTTGACAGCCCCGGGCCCAGTAAGGGCTCCCGGAGACCGAAAATAGCGAAAGCTTGCCCGTCGTGGTTTTTGTGCGCAATGCGAGGGGGTATGGGTCGTTCTCGGCGGATGGGGACAGCGAGGGCGCCCTCAGCGCCCAGGATCCCGCGAGGGAGACCCTGGTCGAGCCGCGGGCCGCGCGGCTGGCGGGCCACGATTGTCGCGCGCGGCACGACGTCCCCCGCGCCGCGCTGTCCGAGGCCAGGCGACCCCAGCCGATGGGATCGAAACTCGGCGGGGTGCCGAGGGGCGGAGTGAGAGGGGGCGGGTTTTCTCAGAAGGCGGCGATTCTTCTCAGAGTCCTCATGGGGTCGGAATTCGGCGGGGTGACGGGGGGGGAAGTGCGAGGGGCCAGGTTTTCTCAGAGGGCGGCGGGGCTTCTCAGAGTCCCCAGCCGATGGGGTCGGAATCCGGCGGGGTGCCGAGGGGGGGAGTGAGGGGGGGAAGCTTTCTCAGAAGGCGGCGGGGCTTCTCAGAGTCCCCAGCCGATGGGATCGAAATTCGGCAGGGCGCCGAGGGCGAAAGGAGGGTCCGAGCAGGAAAGCGCACCCACACCGCTACCCTTCCCCCGTTTTCCTCTTTCGGGGGCGGCCCTCGTCGCCGCCGCTAGATGCGCCTCGACAGCCCGGTCAGAACGCACCCTGGCAGGAGCCCGAGGAGCAGCGGCTTCGGCACCACTCGGTGCCCCCGAGTGAGGGCAGGCTGTCTCGGAAGGCTGCGGGGCCCCTCGGGCGCCCGAGGCCCGGAAGGGCTCCTCCGCGGGCGGCCCGGACTTCTTTGTTCTGAGCCTTCGGAGAAGGCCCGCCCCGTCTGCCTGCTCCCCTGAGCCCTGTGCGCGCCGCCGAGAAGTCGTCCCGGGAATACGACGACGACCACGACCGCGACCACGACCACGACGACCACGACGACGACGACGACGACGACGACGACGACGACGACGACGACGACGACCACGACCACGACCACGACCACGACCACGACCACGACCACGACCACGACCACGGCCACGTGGTCGTCGTGGTCGTCGTGGTCGCCCGCACGCCCCCGCTGCGCCCTGCCGCGCTCCCCCGCCGCGAGCCGCGGCGGCGCCGCTGCCGACGATGTGTTTTTTGGCAGTCCAGGGCTCTTTCTTCGATTTCGGCCGCTGGAGCCCGTCGCTCACCGCCCACCAAAACACCCCAATTCGACCCGAAGGCCCCAATTTGCCCTCCATTCCCAGTGGGGGGGGTGTCGCGGAACATGGAAATTCTGATCTCCGAGTTGGGTTGGGGTGGTCTGGTAGTTGGTCAGTTGCCGGGCTTTGAAGCCATCAACAACGGATTTGTGACGAAAAGCTAGCCACGCGGAAGGGGTCGGGACTTTTGGGGCAGCGGATTTATCGGAGGATGTCTGGGACTGGCTTCGGGAATACCTTGCTGTTGCATCCAACACGCACGCATCACAGGGTCATCCATTTATTCTGGTCAATCCTCTACCAGCAATTGTTGTCTGACTATATCGTCGTCGACGTCACTACCGTCATTGTCATCATCGTCATCGTCATTGTCATCATCAGCATCATCATAAGTACCATTGGTTGCCCTCGTCTCGTTCTCGCCTTGGGAAGTGTGATCAACATCATCGTCATCATCATCATTACCAGCATCATCATCACCACCCATGTCAACAGCAAAACCATCATCCTCATCCCAATCCTCATCATCATCACCATCATCATCATTAGCATGATCATCCTCATCATCATCGTCATCACCACAATCTCCATCATCGGCATCAACATCGTCATCGTCATCATCGCGTCGTAATCGGAATCATCATCATCATCGTCATAATCGTAACCGTCATCACCACCATCAGTACCCTCACCATCATTATCATCATCGTCAGCAGCATCATCATCAACATCATCATCGTCACCATCATCATCCTGATCATCAGCATCATCAGCATTAGCATCATGTTCATCGTCATCGTCAGTAACGTCGTCATCATCAGCATCACCATCACCATCATCGTCGTCATCATAACGCGCATCATCATCAGCATCATCATCTGAAGTGTCAGTGTCGTCGTCATCATCACCATCATCATATTCAGCGTCAGTGTCGTCGTCAGCATCATCATCATCATCATCATCATCATCATCATCATCATCATCATCATCATCATCATCATTGTCATCATCATCAGTATCAGCGTCATCACCATCATCGTCAGCTTCATCATCGTCATGATCGTCATCGTCATCTTCATCAGCATCGTCATCGTCATCATCATCCGCACCGCTTAATCGGCACTGTCTTCGCCAGCATTTATCATCAGGATCATCAGCATCATCTCGCCGTCATCATCAGCTTCCTCTTCACCGTCATTGCCGCTGTCGTCGTCAATATCGTCGTCATCACTATCATCACCTTCTTATTCGTATAAATCGTCCTGGGCATTGCCTTCGCCATCATCTCCGTCATCATCTTCACCATCATCATCATCATTATCATCATCGTCATCGTCATTCTTGTCATCGTCATCATCATCATCATCATCATCATCATCATCGTCACCAGCATCATCATTGTTATCATCGTCATCACTGTCATCATCTTCATCGTACTCATCATCCGCATAGTCGTCCGCATCTTCATCATGGCATCGTTTTCATCGCCATCGTCACCATCATCGTCATCATGTTCATCGTCATCGTCATCGTCATCAGCATCATTATCCAATACATCATCAACGTCTTTGTCATGACCAGCATAATCATCATCATCACCATCATCAGCACCATCATCATCATTACCCTCATTATCTATCATCACCACCGTGATCATCATCATCCTCATCCTCATCATCATCACCGTCATCAGCAGCATCATCATCATCCTCAACGTCCTCGTAAGTGTGGTCGTCATCGTCATCGTCATCATCAGCAGGAGCATCATCAGCAGCATCTTCGTCGCCATCGTCATTGTTGCCGTTGTCGTCGCCATCTTCATCGCCATCTTCATCGTCATCGTCATTGCCGTCATCATCCTCCTCCTCGTCATCATCGTCCTCCTCCCGACGCCCGAAGGCCTCCGCCGAGCAGGCGGGGCGGCTGGCGGGCCTGCCGGGAACCCCCCGCGCCTTGCGCGAGGGCGCCCCCCGCGCCGTGCGGCCCAGGGCCGAGGACTGGGCTGCGGGCGATGCTTGGCCCGGGGCTCTTGCCAGGGGCAACGGTAGGGGGGGGGGTAAGGCATAGGGGGATGCATCGACCCCCAATCGCCCACTGATCGCGTTCTTACGAAACGGCTCGGAGGACAAACATTGCCTCAGGGAAGAGGTCGAGGCCTCTATAAACTATACGGGAAAGTGAAGACGTCGGGGATCCGGAGAGGGAGGGGGTTGGGAGGAAGGAGGGGGCGAGGTATCGATTTCGCTATCGGTCCGATACGCCCCGCTGTCTGTTCAAGTCTCCGGCAATATGTCAGAGCGTGGGAGCAACCGGCAAGTACCATGACCGCCTCGTGCGAACAAACTGCATGTACCAGGGTTCCTTCGGAAGCGCAAGCAGCAATGCTTTCTCACACCAGGAGGGTCAGGAGGGAGCGGAATCCATTCTTCTCGTGCATCCCCCTTCCCCCCTGACGGCTCCCTTCTCCTGGGCTGGAGGACATCGGACTCGGATGCTCGAGGTCTCCGGGCGCTTTCGTTGCTTCTCGGCCGCCTTCCAGCTTCGGGATGCTTGCCAGGAGCTGCCCCTCGCCGAGAGCCCACGGCATCTGGGTCGAGGCCCGAGGCTCGCGGGCGCGTTCGTCGCTGCTCGGCGGCCTCTCTGCCCCGGGATGCTGTCCACTGGCTGCTGCCTCGCCAGGCTGCTCTCCGAGGGTGCCCCGCTCGGGCCCGGAAGGGGGGGAACGTCCTCCTCCTCCTCCTCCTCCTTTTTGACGTTGCGCGGACTTGACTCGGCAGCATGGAGCGTTAATGTGATGGAAAAAAAGCGGCAGGCCTGTGCCCTGCAACAGTGCGGAATACAGGAAGGCGCCACGCGGCTGTAGAATAACGGACAAGTATAAAACCCATAGTCTGCTACAGGCATAGATGAAGCAAGGAACTTCCTCCACCTCCATCATCATCAGTCCCCTCCCACCATGTTTAGTCAAGGTTGGCAGTACAACGCAAAACATCTGCAACATGACAGCGAGGCTGGCACAGACTGAACTGGCTGGCTTGAGGCAGTGCAGGCGCGTGCGGCAATTCTTGGGCTGCTGCCCAGGCTTTTCCGGTTCACCCCGAACCTCCTCGGCCCCAGGACCCACGTATTTTTCGTAGTGGTTTAGCACGAACCCTTTGAGACAAGCATCGGGCAAAAATGTAGTAGGCTTGCCATGCCAATGGCTGGCCTGTGGATTAAACTGGTAATGATGCTAGCCTCCTCCACCACCTCATGACGATCATCTCCACCTCCCGTGAGGGTATTCTTCTCAAACTGTTCCATCACCGAAGGTAGAGCCGAACACAGGAAAACGCAAAGACGCTCTACGGAAGCGCCACCTGTCGATGTCGGCGTCCTCCCAGCGTCCATGATAGCAACCAGTCTATCCCCTTCCCGTCAACACGCCACTCCACCCCGTCCGCCAGAAGGCGCAGAAATGCAGCAATGAGGCTGCGCACTGGAACAAATGAAATGTCGCAACACTCGGCTTTGACCCATCGCTGGGGCAGTGGCAGTTACGGCATTCGAGGTACAAACCTGATGTGCGCGCATGTACAGATACCGCACCTCAGCACTAACTCCTCCTCCTCTCATCCTCTCTGCTCTATAACCCCGCCCTCCCCACCCGTACGACCCCCCTCCACCTTGCAACACAAAAGTGGCCACACTTCGTTTCGACACACTTTCAGAGAGCAACGGCACGGCAAATAGCGTATCATGGCGCAGCGAAACATCCGAGACGACAAACCTCTTCGCGACAGGGCACAGTGGAGGGAGTGCGCTAGGACGCTCTCGACACGCTCCGACTGGCCGTGGAGTCCCAGTGGGCCCGCCTGGACGGGCAGTCGATCGGACTTTCGACATGCTGGCAAGTTGGAGAGTCCGGTCAGACCCAGCCGAGGCCGACCATGACGGCTCCGATAGGCTAGGGTTGACTTGTGGCCTCCAGCCACGACCAGCGCACAGGCGGCTGCTCGACGGACCTCCGGCGGACACGCGGCCACATTTCGTTGCGACTCGTGACCTGCGGGCTCTCCTCACCTCATCTCTTCCGACCTCCCCTTCTACGCCTTGGGCACCACGACTAGTGCCAGAAAGAAACGGCTCCCCATACACGCAATAATTTAAAAAGGTGCCGACTCCATGGTCTGCCCTGGTGGCCACGTGCCCCAGGGGCCCGCCACGGTCAGGAAAATGTAGGCGGAGCGGACCGAGGAGCGGGGCTGAACTCAGTCGCAGTTCGAACACATACCGCAACACGAGGTGTTCGGTCTCTCCACCACCACCAGTCACCACCATACTCTGATGGGAGCGTTTTCCACCACCACCACCACCATAAGTTGGAGGGGGGAAGAAGGAGGACGAGGAGGAGGACGAAGAGGAGGAGGACGAAGAGGAGGAGAGGAGGAGGAGGAGGGCACCCTCCACCTCCAACTTATGGTGGTGGTGGTGGAAAACAG